GCTCCACTACATTCCTGTCCTTAGTGTTATTCAGATACCACAAATGCACGATCCAGAAAATTCTTCTATCATTCTTGCCACAAATGTATGTTTTCTTCGAAAATACTCAAGTACTACCAGTAGAGTACTCTACTGTCAAATACCTTTTACTCGCAGTAGTTGCGGAAGGCAAAGTAAATACTCTACGCGTGTTGCTATTGATCGGTAGTTTACGTACGCTTGCTGAAACTGGTTTATGCTTACTCACAATTGACCCGAACGATGAAAGTAGGGGATGGAAAGTATTTGCGCGGCGATCGGATGTCTTGTTGGGCCNATTTTGCCCCACCAAATCATTTTAAAATAGTCGGTCGGGAGGGTGGTCAGAAACCAATCCGCTATGTACACTCGGCTGAGCGGACTTACTGTTGTTGACTGCAGCTCCAGTAAGGCTGCGGGTGTACATATCGAGGCCTAACCGCCAAAATAACGTAAGCGACATTTTTTTCAAAATTTTGTTTTTGATGCAGAAGTTCATCTAGATGCTTTAGCAATATTTCTGCATAAAAAAAATAAATAATGGAAACAGATGGCGCTTACTTTATTTTTGCGGGTAGGGGTCGATATACATACAGTGCCGGACAAAAGTATTGGCACAGAGAATTTTTCGCAATATATGTAAAGTTTTTTATTCTAATTTATTTTCAATATTTTTTAATAAAAATATAGTTCGTACTTCACCAAAAAACACAAAAACAAAATCTCTAAACTTTGTGCAAAACTCAGGAAAATTCAATAAATTTGCATACTAATTTGCAACTTCTTATTCAGATTTTTTAGAGAAATTCTAAGTATGTAGTTTTATAGCCCAACTAATTTTAGTATAACAAAGTGCAAGTTTGAAGTATCTAAAAAATTGCGTTGATTTTTGGACATTTTTTTAGTAGAAGGTGTTGCTCATTTTCTCCATACAAAAAATAATTGTCAAACATACTTTGTACGGAAGAACCTGACTGAAAAAAATTGGCAAAAATCAATGCGATTTTTTAGCACCTTCAAGCTTGCACTTTGTTATACTAAAATTAGTTGAGCTATAAAACTGCATACTTAGAATTTTTCTAAAAAATCTGAATA